TTCCACTTTTTGACTCTAATGAACGATGCCGCCATGAACTCACACACAAGTCTTACGCAGACTCACATTTTCATTTCTCCTTGGTAGATACCTAGGAGTGGAACTGCTGAGTCAATGGGAAAATCCACGTTAAACATTGTAAGAAACCACCAAACCATTTTCCAAAGTGGAAAATTTAACCACTTACCAATCCTGGTAGCCACCAACGTACAGGGGAGGAGGTCTCTCACTGCTCCCCATCCTACTCAGTTTCTGGTACTTTTTAAAAAATAATAGTCATTATACTGGCTATAAAATGATAACCTCATTATAATTTTAATTTTAATTTCCCTGATAACCAATGAGGTTGGGAAACTTTCCATAGGTGTCCATATTTAAGTATCCTCTCTTTGCAGCCCCCATTCAAGTTTTTGCTCATTTTTCAACTGGGTTACTTTTCTTATAATTTTAAGGTTACTGTTATATCCTGAGCACAATTTCTTCTTGGCACATGTCCTGAGAATATCTTCCCTCAGTCTGTAGTTGGCTTTCTCTCTTTCACTGGTGCCCTTTAAGGGGCAGAAATTCATTAAGGTCCAAGGTACAGCCTTCTCTGAATGACTGGTGCATGATTATGAACAGTGTACTGGTATGAACAGTGCATTTGTATCCTGCTTGAGATACATCTACCTACCCAGGACCACAAAAATGGTCTTCTGTTTTCTTCTAGTAGCTTCACTGTTCTACTTCATTTAGGCCCACGGCCCACTTTGAATTAATCTTTGAGGACAGCATGATACAGGGGTCAGCATTCTCGTTTTCTTTTCTTTCTTCCTTACAGATACCCAAGGCTTCTCACACTGTTCACTGGAGACCACCCCCTTCCGGCTGACCTGACGCCTTCCTTCTCCTGGCTCATGTGATCAGATCCCTACACGCAGGTCCGCCCCCGGACTCCTGTGTTCCCTGCCCCATCTGTCCTTCAGTCTCACGTCCCACGGCCGCAGCACTGGGGCAAGTGTTACAGGTTGTAGGAGGCCTCTGATTTTTTTCTTCTTTCAGGGTGAGATTCCAAGTCATTTAAATCCTTTTTTCTGCCTCAAAATTTTTAATGAGTATATTTTTGCAACACATAGTAAGTGCATTCATTGTGGGGGAACTGGTACGTACGCAAATCACACCTTGATCCTTTCTACTTCCCCGCCCCCCTCCCTCCCACTTCCCCCGGGCCTTGGTCCCTCCCCACACTTTCAAGGAACCAACTCTTCCATTTATTGATACTTTTTTGTTGTTTCTTTAGTCTCAACTTCATTAATTTCTGTTCTTTGTAATTTTTTTCCATTAGTTTCAGATTTGAGATGCACCATTAGGCCCTACCTCCATCTCTTAATGCAATCAAGTTGACCACTGAGATTAACCATCACAAATCTACAGATCAACTGTGGAAAAACTGTTATCTCTACTGTGTCCTAATCAATGAAAACGGCATCTCTTTCCATTTACTTAGGTCTCTTTTAATCCTTTGCAGCAATAATTTTTAGCTTCAGGATAGAAATCTTATATACCTTTCATTAGATTTATTTCTAGGCATTTAATTTTTCTGGTGCTTGCTTTATCTATTTACTTATAGGTACTGGGAATCGAACTCAGGACCTTGTACTTGCCAGGCAGGTGCTTGTGCCACAGTGCTATATCCCAGCCCTGGTGCTTTATTTTTATTTTTTTTTAATTTTACGGTTGTTCATTGCTCATCTACAGCAACAAAATTTATTTTCATGTATTTACTTCATAACTGGACACTCTTGATGATTTTTAATTCTAACAGTTTGTATTTTTAATTCTAACAGTTTGTATCGCCCTTTCGTGGTTTGACTGTGTCCCCACCAAAATTCATGTGCTGAAACATAACTGCCAATATGATGCCATTCATAGGTGGGGCCCCTACGAAGTGCTCCGAGTGGCAACCTTACAGAAAAGGTGAGAGGGAGCTGTCTGCCACTCCTCTCCCCTTCCTTTCCGTCTGCCACGTACGGGCACAGCATTCAAGGTGATCCTTTGGTTGCAAGGCCAGGCCTTAACCAGATACAACCTGCTGGTGCCCAATTTTGGATTCCTCAGCCTTTAGAACTGTAAAAAATAAGTTCCACTGTTGTTTACAAATTACACTGTCTGCGGTGTTTTGTTATTGCAGCAGGGACACACTGAGGCAGGCCCGTGGATTTTCCACATCACAGTCATCACAATAAGCATCTGCAAATAATTAGGTTTCCCTTTACTGCAATCTTTAAAACTCTTATTTCTTTTATGGTCTTTGTATTTGATGTCCTAGCCAGTGAAATATTGAACAGAAGGAGTGACAATGGCCATTTTAGTTTAGCTCTGAACTTGAGTGGGAAGTGTTAAATATTTCACCTTTATGTACATGGTCACTTTTTGATAGAACAATACATCAGATAAGGGAAATTCCATTCCATTCCTGATTTGCTGAGAGTTTATATCATGAAGCTCGGGGCTGGGGATTTAGCTCAGTGGCACAGCGCCTGTCTGGCAAGTGCAAGGTCGTGAGTTTGATTCCCTGTACCGGAAAAAAAAAAATGAAGCTAAATTTTTACAATGCTTTTTTCTGCATCTGTGAAAGGGATTACACTGGTTTTCCTCTTCTATTATATTACTAGATTGAATTATATTCACTGAGTTTAGAATAGTAAACCATTCTTTGCATTTCTAGAATAAATTCAACTTGATCCTGACTAGCCTTTCTATATATTGTTGGATTTGATTTGTTAATACCTTATGATTATTATTCTATTTTTATAGGTGAGAATCATCAAATTTTCTTTTTTAATAATATCATTGGTTTTGGAATCAGAGTTGTGCTGGCTTTATGAATAAGCTCAAATATGTTCCCATTGACTGCCTGGAATTAATTTTATTCCTTAAATATTTGGAAGAATTTACTTGTGAAATCATTTGGGTCTGGGCTTTTGTGTGGAAAAGGATTAATTACAGATTTAATTTCTTCAACAGCTATAGGACTACTCAGATTTTCTCTTTCTTCTTATGTCAGTTTTGGTTAAGTTGTGCTTCTTCAAAGAATATGTCCATTTCACCTAAGTTTCACCTAAGTTTCACCTGAAGCTTACCTGCATATGCTGCGCATAATGTTTTCCACATCAGTGGGAGCTGTGGTATTTCCCCTTTTACATTTTTTGGTGAATTAGTTGCTTTTTCCTTTCGTTAGTGTTGCTAGGGTTACATCAACTTACCAACTTTAATTAACTTTTGAATTTGTTGATTTTCTGAATTGATTTTATTTCTATGATTTCTGACACTTTATGATTTCCTTTATTCTACTTTCTGGGAGTTTAACTGGCTATTGTTTTTCTTCTTGAGATGGAAGCTCAGATGTTTGATTTCTAGCATTTCTTTGTCTGAAATATACTTTGCTGTATGACAAAGTATACAGCAAAGTATATTGAATGACAGCTTGAATGACAGCTCACAAATTTTGAAATGTAGCCAATTTGATAAAAAGTGTGTCTGCCCCCTTGAAAAGAACAGTGTCCTATTGTTGGCTAAAATACAGTTTAGTCTAACTTGGTTAATCACATTTAAACCTTTCATATCCTTATTATTTTTTAACTCTATGTTCCATCACTTGCTGATAGATGTATGTTTATCTTCAACTGTAATTGTGGATTTGTCTATTGACCCTTTTAGTTTTGACAGTTTTTCTTTCACACATTTTTTATTATTAGACACATTCCTAGTGACACTATATTATTAAGAATTGTCCTTATTTATGTTTGGGACTATTTTTTGTCCGGAAGACTTTCACATTAATGTAGCCAGACCAGCTTTACTTTTGGTTAGTGTTTGTATACGGCATCTTTTCCTGTCCATTTGTGCTCTATCTAGCCCTGTCATCACCAAGCTAATAGCTCAAGTCAACTGGGCATGGTCATCCCTTTCATCCCAGCTACTTGGGAGGCTGAGGCAGGAAGACTAGAAGTTCAAGACCATCCTAGCAACACAGTAGGATGCTGTCTCAAAATACAAAGAGCTGCCTTGGTGCCTGCCTAGTATGCGTGAAGCCCTCGGTTTAATCCCCAGTACAAATAAATAAAAAGTAAATAAATCTCTCTGCTAAATGTTGTTTCTTCCAGCTCAAGATTGTTAGCCTCCTACACCACACTGGCTCAGCCCTGTGTCTGCCACAGGCCTCCTTCCTCTGTAGGCCCGATTCCTATGTCCAGGGAGGCCATGGGAGATGTCACTCTGCCTTCCCTGAGGGGCTCACTGACCCCTCACGTCACCCCAGAACTCGGAGAATGTTCTGTGCGGCAAACTCTTTCATGTGACCCCTGAGAGACAGCAAGAAGTCCCACTTCTTTTTCAACACACACAGGAGGCTCAGCCCTAGGGAGCCCTGTCCTCCACCCCACCCAGACTCAGAATGTCCCAGGAGTGTGGCTGGGACTGTCATCTCCCCAGGAAGGGCTCCTTCCGCTGCCCTGGGGGCATTTGGTACACCGAAGCCTCACAGCTTCCCAGCTCCTCAGCATCTCTGAAACTCCGTTTGCCAGTGATGTCTGCCCTGCACATCGCAGCAGCATGGCTGGCCCGCCCTGGTGACCTTCTTACCACGTCTTACCTGGAAGCTGGGTCTGCTCCTGGATTACACCAATAAGTGAAGAAGCAAGTAGCACCCTGGTTCTACGGTACAGTCCTGTCTTACCACAGCCCTGCCCAGTAACCCATCGGCTCCACTTTATAGAAGACAGCATGGCTTTGAGCCACCTGGTGTCCACACACCCAGTGAGGGGAGCCTGCAGCCACGCCTCCTTACTGCGCTCTGGTAGGGAGGACTTTGCTGGAACTCCAGGGTCTGGCGCAGCACCTGGAGCACTGTGGGGCCTCAAACCCTCCCACAGAGTGTGCACGCTCTGGTGCGAGCAGGAAGGGAAAGAGGTGTAACTGGGGGCACTGTCGTGACGCGGGCTGGGGTCGGGGGCACGTACCAGCCTGCGGATGTCACGCTCACACTCGCGCTTGATGCGGTGCACCTCATCCTGGTGCGCCTGGTAGGCAGCGCGCAGGTCGGCGGCCTTGGCCTTGTCGGCCTGCATGCAGTTGCTGAGCGCCTCCTCAGCCTGTTTGCGCGCCGCTTTGAGCTCCAGGATGTCCTGCTGCAGGCGCAGGCGCTCGCCGTCAAAGGTCCTGCGCGCCTCCTCGCGCGCCTCCGCCAGCAGCGCGGTCTTGACCTTGTCCGCGGCGCCGTCGCGCAGCACGTTCAGCGTGGCCTGCAGCCGCTGCAGCTCGCCCTCCTTGATCTTGGCGGTGCGCGCCGCCTCTTGCTCGTGCTGCCGGATGAGAGCCTCGCGCAGCGCCTGTAGCTCCTTGGTCTTCTCCTCGTGCAGCTTGGCCTTGAGCTCCGAGATGTAGGCCGTGTGCCGCCGCTGCTCCTGCTCGCGCTCTAGCTTGGCCTCCTGCAACCGCTCACGCAGCTTGCCCACCTGCAGCAGGAGCGCAAGGCGGTCAGGGTCAGCTGGGGAGGGCTCTGTGCTTCTCTGTGCCCTGAGACCCCGGGTCCCCACACTCTTGCTCCCTCGAATCACCTAGACAGTCCTGAGCTCCCCAGCCCCCCACCTAGTATCCTTCCTCCCTCAGTGTTGTCTTGAGATTTCCCCTGTGGTGGCAACCCCCTGAGAATGTTGGAGAGCCGAGCCCTGGACGTCCTTTCAGTTCCAAGCTGAACAAGAGGGGATATAGCTCAGTGGCACAAGCGCCTGCCTGGCAAGCACAAGGTCCTGAGTTCAATCCCCGGTACCACAAAAAAAAAAAAAAAAGAAAAAAAAGAAAACCCCTGAATTGGGAAAAAATTTCCCCCCCAAAAAAACCCCAAGATGAACAAGAAAGGATTGGGCACCAACCACAAAGCACATTGCAGAAACCACCTCTCACCAACACTGGGCAGGTTCTGAAGTAGAAATGCATTTCCCGCTGCCCCATGCATGGGGCTGTGGCCTGCTACAAGACAGGGCAGGTGGTGGGGAGGGAAGAAGGATCCCCCAAGCCTCCTCCCCGGGACCCTGGCTCCAGGGCCTGTGCTCTGCAGGTGCCTGAGTCTGTGCATCCAATCAGCAAACAATTGAAAATGTTATTTGTGAAATATGCCATGGGGGTTTTCTTAAAATATTCCAAAACACTTCACTGGAGTTTTCGTTTCAAATGCCACATAGTACCCAAGTCCCACAGGGCCCTTTACAGCCCGTGTCTGTTGGGTGGGACAGCGGGCCCCACGGACCCGCAGCCAGCCGCCCCACCCCCACCCCCAGCTGCTTGGGTGGAAAATGGCACCAGTCCCCATCCACCCCACTCACTGCTGACCATGGCACCATTAATTTCAGGTGAGTGGATATGGATAAATCCTTCCTTGAAACAGCGGGACAAGAAGCAAAGCCACCAAAGCAAGCACATGAGACAGGTCAGCATCTCCTTGGATCAAACAGCCACAGATGGGGCTGGGGATTTAGCTCAGTGGCAAAAGCGCCTGCCTGGCAAGCGCAAGGTTGTGAGTTTGGTTCCCGGTACCGGAGAAAAACAAAAACAAAAAAAAAAACAGCCGCAGATATAGAAGAAGGCAACGAGCCATGCCTGGCCCACCTTGCCCAGCGCTGAAATCGAGTCTTCTCATCGGTTTAATGCCAGGAAGCCAAGACTTTTAAGTATTTACATGATTTCTCCAATAAGGGATGAAACATTTCTGCCCTCTCCTTTCTAGGAAGCCACGGGTCCTAACCTCCCTGGGTAGTGTGCACAGTGACCCAGGTCAGAAGGACAAAGGCCCACTGGATCCCCGGCAACTAAAGCACTCAAGCTCTGTGATGGTTCATTGTTCAGGTCAACCCGGCCGGGCCATGCTACCAGTCATTTGGTCAGTCACCAAATCATGTGCTGCTGTGAAGGTATTTCTTAGATGAAGTTAGCACGTGTATTAGCAGACTGAGTAAAGTGGAGCGAGTGGGCTTCATCTGGTCAGTGGAAGCTCTTGGGAGAAAACACTGAAGCTCCTGCTGGAAGAGGGAATTCTGCACCAGACTGCTCTCAGGCTCACACTGCAAGAAGAACCCTTCCTGCTGGCTTGTTCTGCCGGCCAGGGAGGGGGAAAGCTACCGAGTGATACACAGAGGTCTGTCCCTGTGGTCTGCAGTATGTACGCCAGGCGTGAGCACCCCCGGGCGTGAGTCACGGGGAGGGGAGGGAAGGGGAGTGGATAGGCGAGCACACGTGTTCAGGGCAGCCTGGGATGGGCCTGGGGTTGCCTCCAGGGCAGGGCAGACAGTGCCAACTGGGACAGGCCAGGTAGCACAGGTGTGCACGGCAGGGATGGGCCACAAACCTCCATCACCCCAAGACCTCTGAGTCTCATGGGGTGGAGTAGAACTCTCCCAGGAACCACTACACACAGCTGAACAACTGGGAAAGAGGAGGGCAGCTGGGGACCCAAGCTCCTCGAGGAGGCTCAGAGGGGAGGGACCGGAATGACCCCGCCACCACGCATTAGTGTAGGGGACACCAGGGAGAAGCCATGTATATTGTCACAGACATGGAGGTCACATGGAGAACCAGGTACAGATATGTGGCAGCACACGGGCAGTCACACCATGCTCCCGTCCCCTTTGTCAGCTGAGAGGGCAAGGAGCAGTATACCCTGCCAGCCACAGACACGCCAGCATCCCCACCTTGGTTTCCAAACACCATTCTCCCATAAGAAGAAGCAGGCTCCTCTGAGAAACACTGGTCCCAACGACTCGCTACTTGGTGAGTGGGTGGCAGCTGGAACCTGTGCAGTCTGGCTCCAGCTAGTGGCTGCCCATCCACCCGCGGACTTCTCCAGGCTGGGGGCTCTGCCCATCTCTGACTGACACTCAGGACGCCCATGAGTGGGTGCCATTGGGCACATGGGGCACTGTGAAGGTCTGGCCCTTCCTCTCCAGCCAGAAAATCCTCAGGATTTGCTCTACTGTGAGGACTCGGGGGCCCCTCTTTTCCTGCACGTCTGCTATGAGCCCAGATGCAGTGTGCCAAGTGCTGTCGGATTGTAGTCCCTGTGGGTCTCTGCATCACCCTGCATGAGGGCACAGGCTGTTTCTGAGTCACTTCCAAATGCGTGTCACTGCCCAGGCCCACAGGGTGCATGCAGGGGGCTCACTGGATGGATGGATGGATG